CTACAGCGATGTGCACTTTAGCACAGGTGATCTATTATTCATATAAGCAGTCAAAGAAAGAGAGAGGGAATGCAACCTGCATACCAAGCTAACTAATGCACACACACACACACACACACACACACACACACACACACACACACACACACACACACACACACACACACACACACACTGAAAAAACAACGTCCATTTGCTGTAACACATTTACAAATGTAAGTGTCCGTGTGTGAGCAAAGCAGTGACTGTGTGTGCACAATTTGCGTGCAATTTTAATGATGTTCTTGAGTGAATACTCATAAAAGTGTGTAGACAAATCTCATTAATAAATGCTTCTTTAAATCTGCTGTAAATGATAAGGCTTTGTATATCCAATTAATCAAACATAACACCTGTTCTTTAACTTTTTAGACAGCTAAATCTATTACTGTAGTGTATGTGGCCGAGATGGGAAAAAAATAGGTTTTGTTGGGAATGTGTTTGCTTTGAGTGACTTGCTTGTGCCACTTACCTTTCGCTGTGCACTTTTCCAAACTGCTTAGCCAAATGCATGGAGCTGCAACCCTTGTCATTGTCAATCAAATCGAGCAAGAGGGGGGGCTTTCATTTCTGGTTTTGATGCTGGTGATTGTACAGGGGGACAATGGCAATTGAAGATGAAATGTTGATATAAGTGGTATTTCATTTAAATGAACTTTACAATGCAAGATCAACCAATACTAATCAAAAGCTTTATGTTGGCTCAAATCTATATTTTACTGTTAAACACATTTGACGTCCTAGTTTGCACGCAGCCTTCTCCTCAGGCCCAACAGGCCGATTTTTGATACTCATTGATTAAAAACACGTCATACAAAGGCCTATGACCAGGGGTTATAAAGGATATAGTATTAACAGAAAGACGAAATGTGAATTGTCTACTTTGAGAACACGTTTTTCAAGCGTAATATTTGGTCTGCTCCACATATCAGAGGAAATGGGGGAAATGTGAACCTGAGATAAAGAAGCTGCCATGCTGCTGGCTAATATTCACACAAGCAGCTCAAAACTAGAGCTGATGCCATGGGATTTGCAAACCTATTAACCAATACTATTTATAGCCATCTGGCCTACTGTGGACAAGAGACTTTTCATCTAAGAGCGCCATGTCTAATGAGAGAAATAGATGTCTTAGTTTTTAGCTTATGGAGTTAGAGAGGTAATTCAAATATAGACTTTAAAGTTGGGGGAAGGGACCTTGTTTTGTTAATAAAGGTTTACATTCAAATGTTAATGTCATGCTGTTGCATCCTCTCTTGCACTGCTGTATAATGGAACATGAATGATATCCTTTTAATATAGGGGGAATTGCCACACCAGACTATAGATCATCTATGATTTGGGAGAGGATTTCAGATATGTTGCAGAGTTTTACTTAAATTGCTGTCATGACCAATTTGTAAATATTTGAATCAAAATGGAGACTGTTTTGCAAAAATATATGGCCTGCCTCGACTCTTAAGGCACATTCACTCACAGCAGGTCTGACCAGTTCCTCCACGTTCTGTAGAAGTGAAGAGAGCAAAACCAATTGAGCTAAGATCTATACATGCACTGGGGACCATCAAATGCCATGAAAAAATGGCTGTGTAATTTTAGTTTTAATTTACTTTGAATCATTTTTATTATCGTTGATAATTTAACACTTTTTACACTTTCCAAAGAAATGTCATTATTATAAAAAAAGGATTGTGTAAAATATGTGTCCATGATTAGCAATCGTGTCAATAGTTGCTCCTTACAGTGCCTAAACTCTGCCGACAGAAGATAATGGCCAAAATGCACATGCAATATTATCAAACTGAACAAAACAATCCAGAAACAGCCAGAGATAAAGTATATGATGTCTTTTTATGTTTTACACAAACAGCATCTTGAAAAAGAACACAGTCGTGATTGAAGAGGTTATCTCCTATCTGTATTTTAGACTCTAAATAATTAATTGTAAAAGTGACCCAGATAACAGCTCAGAGTTGTTCCTCATATCACCAGTGAGTCCTTACTGCCAACGAGTCGTTCGACCGCATCAGACAGCCGGCTTCACCATCAGGGAGTCGCTGCAAGAGCAAGCCTGCAGTCGATCATGAAGAGGAAAGGAGTCACAGAGTAAAAAAAACAACTTTCTACAGCTTTTTAAAAGTATGTTTTCCTTCCTAAACCTCGTCTATTAACCTGTAATCCGGGCGTGACATACTGTAGAAATGCAATCCAACCATTAACTTGTGGTGGACTGTGAATTGTGTGTATTTACTCAAGTACTGCATTTAAGCATTTTGCACTTCACTTGGGTAGTTCCATTTCCTGCTACTTCCTACTTCTACAACACTATATCTCAGAGGCAAATATTGTACGTTATATTTATTATCTGGGACTATTACTGTGAAGATTCAGATTCAGATTCAAAATGTAAACTATAATCAGCAGTATACAAAGTAACAACATTAAAGTGATGAACACATCAATGCATCAATTGTTATAAATAAATGATATAACGTAGACCTATATATCATCTGAAATGGGAACTATGCAGCATAAATACTTTCAATTGTTGTGCTTCAGTATATTTTGAGGTTATACTTTTACTTTGAACATTTTGTTCGCAGGACTTTTTCTTGTGACAGAGAATGTCAACAATGGTGTATAACTACTTTTGCTGAAGCAAAATATCAAATTACTTCCTCCACCACTGCCAGTAACACAAAAGGGTTTATGATGTTGTAAAAAACAAAGCATGTTTATCGAGAATAAAACCTGTTTGTCCGTCCGTCTTGATCTGGACTGCTGTCTGTCAGTAATGGTAAATAACTGTGATCATCTGTGGGTGTATGAATAAGCACACAATGATACAAGCAACTACGGTTTATGATTCTTATTTAACTTTCACAAAATGATTACATTCACCATAAGCCTTATTTAACTTTCACAAAATGATTACATTCACCATAAGCCAACAGCTGTGTAAAATAAAGTGAATTAAAATATATAAAGCTGTGTAAAAAGAAAAACATATAAATACTTTTACGAAATATAGCCTATACAAAATAAAACCAAATAACTAAAAATAGATAATTGTAAACATTAAGTACAACATTAAGTCATTTACAGGTCTGTGTTTTTTTCTTTAAACTGCTTTTCAACCAGTTCATATATATTAATTTATCTGAAATAGGTTTTACAGTTTCTTTATCATTAATAATATTGGTTTGTCACCTATTGTAGACATGCATCATATTGACCAAAGCCACTGAATGGGAGCTGTTGTCAGGCAGGAAAGGTTTCTGCTGAAACCAAAACCCGGGGGGGTTTCTACACATTACGTAAGCCCAAGTAATTTCATGACCTCAGCAGCTTGTCACCCTGCCTTCCTCTGTGGGTGAGAGGTGGAGAAAAGGTGGGATAACGCAAACACAAAGGTCAGAATGAGCAGGTTTAATTGTGTAAGAGAAATAACTAGCTCAAGATAGACATTGGAAGAGGGAGGCTGATGCTTCATGAGATTAAATCAGAAATGTCCCCCTAATTTTACTTAGGCAGAGACAAGAAACATACTGCAAGCTGTGCACTGAACAAGTGAGTTATTATAGTTATGCCCACAAATAGCTGTTATAGTTGACATATTTACATGTGATGTGAGTGTGTGTGTTTACATATTTTAATGAAAGCAAACAAGATAATTTGGGAAATTAAGTCATAAAACATTATAGAGTTGTGTAGGCCTACCACATGTTTTGACATCGTTTTGCCGTAGTTTAACACAGCCAATATTTACTCAAATTCATCAAGACTTTTCTCAGTTGTTGATTATTTGACCATTGTGGAGGCCTTCAAGAAAAACTAAGGTTTTCTTCAAGAATTAAAAAACACAGTATGGCCATTTTCTAGGTATTTATTCGAATGGAAAAATGCCTAGCACAGCGTGTGTAAGTCAATCTGTATCTGATCAACTATTGCCAAAAGTTCTCAGGTATAATTTCAGTTGTCCAACGGGGGACATTCCTGAGTTGTGATCCTTTTCAGGGAGTACACAGCCATTTTCATCCCCACCACACAGTTGGAAAACACAGCCCATCACTGAGATACCCTGAGTGTGTGTATTGTCCTTTAATATAGGTTACAGATGAAGTAATAATGGTCAAGAAATCTCACAGAAACATCAAAAATCATTAATAGTCAGATACCTAAACACATCTATCTAAATATAGACTACTTTTCTTTGTACAAATGTACAAGGCAAACCATTTCCTAAGAAAGGCTGTATTTAAATGCAACAAAATCTGCTCATTCAGTTTAAAGAGCAATGTTTATTGGGTTAATGTCTGTTAAGGGCCCCAATTGTAACTGTCACAACTGGGTTGGGCACAGTCATTCATTTCGAAGGAGAGAAACATGTAACTCAGTTTTCGCCCCAGATGACATAAATAACAATGTTTTGAAAAGAAAAGTAAACATTTTACTATCAAATGTGGTTTCTTACACTGGGTTATTGTAGTCCTTGTGTTGGTAGGATGAGATTAAGATATTTGGACAACAATGGAGGTCTATGGCACAGATAAAAGAGCTACATCAGGTTTTGACTATGCAGACCATTCGTGTGAGATGTACATTCATAGTTTATGTTGGTTATATAAACAATATAACATATAATTGTCCGTGAATAAAGATTTGAGAAGGCGAATTGTCTCGTGAGTGCCACACCCGCCTACAGCAAACTACGGCGTGTGAGGGCAGCGAGTGATTGGACGAGCATCACCATGGCAATGCGATGACGTCTTCGTCCCTTGCTCTAATTGGAGGAAACCCCGTGGCCCCAGCCGCTGCAGCGTTTCGGTCTACCAAACTACCCCAGACGGACCGCCTCTTTCCCCCGCGCTAAACAACTATTGGTTTACACACCTAAATGTTCCTGACAATCAAATGAGATTTCGACTAGTGATTGGATAGTTGATATCAAGTTGACCCGCCCCATTTGAGCATGTTTAGTTGTATTTTCACTGCTGTTGCCATTCTCTGCCTTTCTGAGCAACCACTCAAATCGGATCAATTTCAGGAGCAAATTTGGACCTCAGCAGGTCAGTAACGATGAGTCTTTTTCTTGTTTCTACCCTTTAAGAATATAAACGCTGGTTGTTTTCCGAACTGTGATATTGTCGTTCGTTTAATGCTTAGTGTGAGTAGCGCTAACGTGACATTTTTTTTTTTAAAGGAGTGGCCGATGTAGCTAACGCCAACTAGCTTTTGCTAACTTGCATAGCTAGCAGCAGCAGACAGCTTTGTGGCTGCAATGGTAGTAACGTTAGCCGATTTCAGCTTATACACCGTGTATAAAGGCAACACTGGGTCTTTTTTATTATTGTAAGTTAAGATAATTGTGGTTGAAGTGAAGCAGTGTCTGTAAACGTTATTTTTATTCGTTCAGCGCATTTCAATGACTGCTGTTAACCTAGATGGTGCCACTTTCCAGCACCACCACACCAGGCGGATGTATGTTGTTTCATGTCATGATAATCGGTGGGCCATTTTGCACTGCATTTGCTTAACGTTATATTTATATCCACACCTACTAATTGAATCTTCTCCTTTACGCAGCTTTTAACCTTACTGAGGGAACCGACACCGTCGATCTCTTGCTACGCCCATTCCTTAACTCAGCAATCCAACAAAGATTGTAGTGTCCCCCCGGATTTCTACTCCATACGTCTCCAAGACATAAAAAAACTATGGAAAGAGCGGATCTTATTCAAAAGGCCAAGCTCGCCGAGCAGGCTGAGCGTTACGACGACATGGCACAATGGATGAAGAAGGTTACGGAGCAGGGAGAAGAGCTGTCAAACGAAGAGAGGAACCTGCTCTCCGTCGCCTACAAAAACGTGGTCGGGGCGAGGCGCTCCGCATGGAGGGTGTTGTCCAGTATAGAAACTAAGAGCGAGGAAAGTGAGAATAAACAGAAGATGGTCAAGGAATATCGGGGGAAGGTGGAAAGCGAGTTACAAGATATCTGCAACGACGTCCTGGTAAAATATCACATTTCTACAATATATGTTTAAGACTGCCCCCTCTCTCCATGTTATCTGTATATGAGCTAAAGATCCCTTTCTTAAAAACCTCATAAGTACATCATTATGATTTAATCAAGTTTCATTAGTGATTGCCATAGCTGCAGTATGGTTGAATTCTTACTCTCGAGGCAAGGTGCCAAGGGGGGAGGTGTTCAAGTGTATTAAGAGAAATATCTGATTTAGCTTAGATATTAAGGGATAGACTTTGGAATTGGTGAAAGACACTTATGTGGTCAACTTCAGGTGTGATTCCATGCCTTATATGTAGTCACAACATTTTAAGTGGTATATATTTATCCATTAAAGATGTGTTAAATTGCATCTTCCCTGTTTCCTGTAAGCTCCTCCTGTAACTATGGCCACAAAGGACAAGGAAGTATTATGTAGTCCTCTCACTGTTCATGTCTTTTGGGAATCTAGAATTAGAACAATGAGCCTGAAATCTTTTGAGGGCATGAACTGACAAAAGGTCATAGTTATTACACCAGCAAGGTGGTTCCAAATGTGTGGAGAGAGAACTCACAGGAAGATATGCTATGTTCTCTTGCTCTATAAAGCTCTGATGTGTTAGTATCCATGCAGTCCCATTTGACCGATAGAAGCTGAATCTGGTCAGTGCAAGAATGACATGCCTAAACAACTCATACACTCCCTGAAGCCCAGTTTGTACAGATCATCAAAGTGACACCCGCCTGCAGAGCCACTTATTGAACCCAATGACGCTGTGATTGACAGTGGAGCCAAATGCATTCTCATACATTACACACACACACATGTAAAGGCTTAGCTTTGCTGGAATACTAGGGGGTTGGTGTTATACTTTCCCCTCTTGTTAAATCTAATGCAACAGCACAGATTGGTGCGTTGCATTTTTTTTTCCTACCCAGCCTTGATAATGGATTATAGGAGATCTGGGCAGAAGCTTAGCACTAAGATTGAGATCATTTCCATTTGCTGCTGTCTTTAGAAATGCACTGAAACGTTGCAGGGGGCATTCTTGTTCAACCAGATTTCCATACGTGTTCCTGAGAATACGCACTTGCGCAGCAGCTGTGACTCAGCGTTCAGTATCTCTGCCATTGAGTATTGACTGAGAGTTTGTCAGCAGAGAAGGGTGTGTCAGTCCTCATGCCTTAACTTGTCTGCACAAAACCTGACGGGTAGGTTATTCACCCACAAAGGCAGAAGTGTAGACACCGAAATAGTCAAGTAAGACGATTGTGTGCCCCTTTTCTAGTTCCCTTAAAAAAAGACTGAAACCAGAAGCTCTTGCATCTCAGCTAAAGGCAGCAACAGGGACTCCAGTCTCTACACAGGATGTGAATGTAGGCCTCGTAGACTAGACGAGAGGCCATCTGAGCAAAATGATGCGGTTCACTGATCTTCAGAAAAAGACACGGCATACTTTACCCTGACATCTGAAGCTTTTAAAGAAAGGGAATATATCAATTCCTGACATGTTAAAGATCTCACACACGTAAAACCGGGCTTTGATCCACAGCCACTCTACTTTGCTTTCTACTTAGTCCTGGTGCCTGAAACCAGAGCATTGTGTTAAAACACCAGGCTACCCCTCTTTTCTCTATTGTGTAGAGCATTTAGTGATTGAGGAATGTTTAGCACTTGAGAGTTGAGACATACATGTGTTTCGGCTGAGCTAATCTTTATGTCGGTAAATGACAGGGGAGTGGCTCCTGGGTTGGGTTTGGCTCAGAAAAGCAAAGATTATTTTCCCCAGATTTGGATGAGATGGCTCTTTTTAAAGTATTTAGGTCCTAGCAAAAATGTAATCTTAACAACCCTCTCAGGCAGAACTGTTGCTAGGATGAAGTTGTTGGGCATTTTCATTCTGATTGTTAAGTTAATATATTCCCTAAATTGTTTAATATGAGCATAAGACATACATTTCAATGATGCAGATAAGCCTTGGTTATTTTCCAGGATTTAATTAGATTTTTATTACTGCTATATTAACATTGGTAAAGCATAGATTAAATGAATTTTATGTTTTGTAATTTGATTCAAAATATGTAGGTGTTCGTTAGTGAAGGAAAATACAGTTGCGGTAGAAAACTCACCAATACATTTCTTGTGACTGTTGAAACTGAACATGCCAGCAAAAGGGTAGGGTATGGATGGTTATGCCTCATCTGCAACAAGACAGGAGTCAGCAATAAGGCACAGAAGGAGAGTAATGTGTGTACTTTTGGGCAAAAGACAGTTTGGGACACACTTGAGGCCTGGCCTTGTAGAGACTCCAACAGGAGAGACTTAAGCTTTAGCTCACACACAGTAAGCCAACACACCTAATGGAGCAGAACTGTTCATATGAATCATTGAACTGAGCAGCCATGAAGTAGTAGTAGTGCTCTCTGGTGGATGGATGCTAGTAGGACACTTACAATGGGTGAGCCCCACCTATTTAGCGTTTGCTCACACACCAATAGTGCCCATTTTGACAGTGTGGTTTGAAACTGTTTTCTAAATACGTACCGTGTCTGCTGTTTCTGTTTATTCTAAATATCATCCTTCCGATTTGTCTCTTCATCTGTCAGTCAAATGTCACAGTGTGCCAAGTCTTACGGTATTATGTTCTCAGTGCATCTGATTAAATTGATCTTGTGTTTTCTGTCTTCACAGAAACTGCTGGATGAGTATTTAATTGAAAAATCCAAAACTTCCGACAGCCAAGTCTTCTATCTTAAGATGAAGGGGGACTACTTTAGATACCTCGCCGAAGTTGCCGGGGATGACAAAAAGAGTGAGTTCATGCCTTCCTGTCAAATTGTCTGTGTTGTTCCTGCTACTTTGCTTCTCATTTTATGCACTGTTTTTAAGATGGTTAGTCATTTAGAATGCATGTTAAAGGGTCGTGCCCTTTTAAACATCCAAATAGTAGTGTGTCCGAGCTGAGCGCTGGAAATGACTTAAAGGTAGACTTTTCGGCCATGTGACCACAGGTCCCCAATCTCACAGGACGGGAAACACGACTGGGTGGCAGCTAATTGGTCTGAACCTTCTAAATGAAAAAAATTGAAGAGAGAAATATTATACATACATTTTCCATAAGCATATCTTTTAATACTCATATTGGCTTTGAGGTGTTAAGATTGATTTGACCTGTTGTCATTGTGCAACTTCATTCCAATATTCCACTAAAATGTCCTGAAACAACCTTTTGCGCTTGGATAAAACATCATTGTAATGTGAACAACAAAAGATGATTTAAAATTGGTTTAGCCCACAAAGCTCATGAAAAGACAAACTCCCTCAGAGGAAGTTTTTAAACGACCTAAAAATACAGTTTCAATTTATATTTTAATATTTATTTATCTCTCAAAACACCAATTGACCCTTTTTGTTTATTCTGTTTGTTACCTTTTAGAGACCATTGCAGACTCACAGGAGGCGTACCTGAAGGCGTTTGAAACCAGTAAGATTGAAATGCAGCCCACACATCCCATCCGCTTGGGCCTGGCGCTGAACTTCTCCGTCTTCTACTACGAGATCCTGGGCTCTCCAAAGAAAGCCTGTGAATTGGCTAAAACGGTCTGTATGCGTCATCAGTCACTTTACCTCGTCTACAGGTGTACTATGTTTCATGTATCAACATTTTCCTTTTTGCTTGCAGGCATTCGATGAAGCCATTGCTGATCTTGATAAGCTAAATGAGGAGTCCTACAAAGACAGCACTCTGATCATGCAGCTCCTCAGGGACAACCTGACAGTGAGTGTTCCCTTCTCTCATGGCACGAGAATGATCTTCACTGTGTCACAATTGCACTATGTTTGCCTAATTGTCTTTCTTATAGTCTCTGTTTTCTTTGAACAAACTTCAAATGTGTTGAACTTGTTTTACTTAAAAGCAAAGGACAAAAGCCTGATTTCATAGTAAGGGCTGAGACGTTATGAACCTTAACAATGAGTGTAATGGCCCGCACTTCAGGACACTCTCTCCCTGAATCAACAAAAGGTTTTGGAAAATGTATTTCTTGTGTCAACGATGGGACGCAAGGATTATTTACACTTGGTGATGAGTACTCTGGTAGCTGCGTCTACAAAGACCTTACCATTTAAGGAACTACGGCTACACATCTAAAAATTAATAATGAACCGTGGCTCTTAAACTTTGACCTACCTCGCCTTGTCAGAAAAAAACGACTCCTTATCATCAAGCTCTGAAACAAAAATGACTTAGCATTGCGATGGTCAAACAGAATGGGAAAACAAACACCTGACTTCCTAATCAAAATGTACATCCTGCTTACAAATGAGCTGAGGTGCAAACACGTGACGGCTACTATAAATACAAAAGTCGGTACATCAGGAAAAAAGAAGTTGGCAGGACAGCCTATTGGATACTGGATCACTTACACTTTGATGATCGGAAAACTTTCCTCATTTTCTGCACAATTAAGCTCTGGTTAAGGTGTTCTTTTGCTTATGATCTCTGATGCTCATTAACAGTTCATCTTAAACAGTTATGAAAAAAAATGAATTCCCAACAATGTCCACCCAATCAGCAGTCATGCTATTTGCAGTTTCCTTAGTTAACCAACAGGTTAGCGAGTTAGTTTAAAGAGTTTTTTGGCCCCACTTGGGTTTGGCAGCAGGGGTAACTTCTCATAAAGTAAGCAATAACCAAGCCCACAATGAGTTAGGATACTATTGGTCATTTTACTCTAAGTTATACTTATATGGGTTTGAATCCTGATTCATGGTCTTACCAGAAAATGAAACTTGTATCCTAACACAACTACTAAGATTGTTAAATTGCCTATTTGAGTAAAGTTGTGTGTTCAATTTGTGTTTCTCTCCTCAGTTATGGACATCAGATGCTGCTAGCCAGGACGAGTGCGAGGCTGAGGGACAACAAGAGGCTGAAAATGAAAACTAAAAACCGCCAACCCTCGATGTTTGGGTCATCTCTAAAAACAACAAAAGGAAGAAAAAAAAAAAACTTTTTACACATCCTTCATTCCTTATTGCTCCACTCAAACATTCTACCAATGAAACTGATTGCTGAAAAGAGTCATGTAAGGAAATAATAATGAATAAATAATTCTTTTCATAATGTAGATTTTGGCAACTGGTGAAAAGAGAAACCCTCCATTCCTTTGGTTTATGTTTGTCATGGCCTTCCCCATTTGTGCAGTTTCAGCCGTAGAAAAGTGATCCATAGCTTGACATGGTATCAAACCCTTAGCTCATTTTAGCGGCAGGAAAAACTAAAGTCCCATCATTGAACAACTGGATGCTTTATCAAATCATTTGAGACCGTTTGGATTTGTTCCCAATAATTAATGTTCAATATAAAAACTAGTTTCTCCCATACCCTTTTTAAAGTGTGTCTGTCTCTACACAATTACGTGGTACGGTTACAGCAGCTGAACCTTAAACTGATTACATTTGAATATTGCAGGGAAAGCTAGTGCACTTTACATGCTGGCATTAAATAGTATAAAACGGCCAAATAGTGCTAATTGGTTAGATCCTCACTTTCTGCCCTGGTTATGATGCCACTCTTTCACTGAAGCATGCCTGTTGTTTTTTGGGGGGGAGGGAATTGTGTGGCTTGTCTGAACAAATGCTGGGACCTTTTTAATGGGAAGAAGACAATTCTGTAATGCATGTCTCTGGAGATATTACACTGGAATGGGAACAAATGCTGTAACACACATGTCAAAGTCTCAAGTTAAGTCATTTTAAATGCAGGTTTGTACACATCCTTTAAGTGGGTGATTTAAGTCTGTCCAGTGATTGTCATTAGAGATTTGGGCCACTATTGTTTTACTATTCATTCAATTGTAGTCCCCTAAAGCCTTGTGGAACTGTTCCAATCCCTATGTATCAGCTATGTTAACATAAATAAAACATTTTATAAACCAAGTCTGAGTTGGTATGTTTATTTTATTTGCTTGATAATGTACTTCATGATGTCAATTCTCTATTATTGCTACTTACTTGACAGCTTGATCACCTTTAAGAATGAGAACGCTTCTTTCTTTGGATTCAACATAATTATTGCCCCAGAATGAAACTTATTTTAACAACTTATACAACTACATTTGAAATGCTAGGTAGAAAATGAATAATTTGCATATATAGTAAGTTAACTCCAGTGCATTTAATGTATACTGTTAGTGGATTTTAATTATTTTTTAAAAAAAAGAAAAGATTATGAAAGAAATACAAAGCAGCCCCACCTTATCAGCTGCAACATCAAAGTGATTATCACAACAATGCAAACATAATAATCTAATATCATATGTGCATTGTTCTGAAATGATCCATTCTGCATATTGAGTACACGCTTACATTTGAGTGCACTTCTGGTCCCTATCAGTGGTGTAAAGTAACTAAGTAGATTTACTCAAGTACTGTGCTTGAATTCAATTTTGTGCTACTTTCTACTTCTACTCCACTACAATTATTTGATACCTTTAGTTACTTTACAGATTTGGATTAATGATGTGAAATAGTATCAACATTTAAATCCAATTTACACCTGGAGTAAGTTCACAAGTTACCCTGCAGAATAAAAAAGAATTAACACTAGCTGCACCTTTACCAGCTTTGATAACAATTTAATGCAGGGGTGTCCAAATGCGGCCCACGCTCCATTTTGAATCGGCCCTCAGCAAATTCCAAAAGTATAATGGAATATGGCCCACAAATGAAACTTGTGCTTGTCTTACATTGTACTTCTTAAATATAAATGTAAAAATATATTACACAGTAGTATTCATGTGTTAAGACCACTTTTCAAATAAATTCAGTCAATTAAAGTTGGAAACTTTTTCTAACATATCTTATTAGTTGATAAGAAAAAAGCCCAATGACTTATTTACATAACAAGCTTGAAATATACCCTTCCTATTTCTCCTTATTATAATCAATCTGAGGCTTCTGTTTTAAGGGATGAGCTGCCAACACTCACAAGCATCATTGACCTACATTTGATTGATTTTGCTAACTTAGAAGTTATAACTGAACTTATGAGGCAATGTACCTCTAGTGAGCGGCCCAACCCTTCGTATATTCTGCGAAAAAAGTTTGGACACCCCTGCTTTAATGCATCAATAATTATAATTAAAACATATTATTCTGAAATGGACCAATCTGCATAATGAGTAATTCTACTTTTTGTACTTTCAGTACTTGTTTATGCTAATAGTTTTCTACTTTTACTTGAGTAACATTTTGAATGCAGGACTTTTACTTGTAAAGAGTATTTACTGTACAAAGTGAGTATTCCTACTCTATGGTACTTCTACTTTTACTCAAGTACAAGCTCTGAGTACTTCTTCCAGCCCATTTCTATGCTAATATTTTTGTACTTTTACAACAAATATTTTAAATGCCAGACTTTTACTTGTAACAGTATTTTAAGAGTGTGATTTGTTACTACTGAAATACAGATATATGAGTACTTTTTGCGCCTTTGTCATGAATAAACTACCTGTGTGTCTCGTCAACGCTTCCTCGCGGGTGGTGAAATCTAAAAGCGGATGTTTTCCACTCGGTGCATTTCCGGGTATCTCAGCTAGCTAGCTGTCCAGACAAACCGAGCAACTTTTGACAATGACAGCACTAGCATAGCTGGCTGAATTGAGTGAAAATGAAGAGCATACTGTTCATTGCCTTTCTGGCTCCTTGCTGGGTCAACTGTGCTATTAAGTCGAGAGTTATTACGGAGGAGAATCACGAAGAAAACCCGGAGTACGGTGAGTAACGCAAGCTAACTCAGGCTAACATTAGCTAGAATGTTCAGGTTTTCTGTTTTATGAACTATGTGCTTTCTAACTATCTATGTAATTAGTATTTACTGTAATTATCAACCAGTATCAATTACAGTGTAATGCTTAGGCGATGAGTCCTGTATACTTGCTAAATAAAACCAGATCTTCATCAGGCTGGGAGCGGATTGTCAGCTCCAGATTGCAGTATGTGTAGTATCTGGTGATTTGAATGAACACACGCAGTTTCTTCTTGGTCCTGGATGACCATTGTCGTCTCTCCATGTCTTCCAGATGCTCTGAGCTCCATCCTGTCAGATTTTGAGGTGTTGCCATTGTCAGGCCTCCAGCTGCACTCAGTAAGAAAGAGGGACGTCCAAACCCAGTCCCACCTGGAGCGTCTGGTGAGCTTCAGAGCCCTGCACAGGTACAGCAGCCCCCTCATGTCTCTGACAGAAGCCCTACTCAGAGAACAGCTGTTGTGTACTTTGGAGTAATGATACAGAATAAGTTCACATTTTAACAGAGGTGGGAGAACTACTCGGAGTACTCAAGTACCAGACTGTAGGAATACTCTATTAAAAGTAACAGTTCTGCATTCAAAATGTTACTCAAGTAAAAGTACAAAAGTATTAGCATAAAAATGTACTCACAGTTCTAAATGCAAGTGTTTTGATTATAATTATTGATGCATACATGTGTATATCAAAGCTGGTAAAGGTGGAACTAGTTTTAATAACTTTATATGCAGTAGGGTAGCTTGTGAATGTTACTCTAGGTGTAACTAGTTTTACGTCTTATTTAAGTATTCTCTATATTTCACACTATAAATCCAAATCTGAAAAGTAACTTATATAAGTATAAGTACACTATTTACCTCTGAATATTAGTGGGGTGGAAGTACAATTGTATTTAAGTACAGTACTTGAGTTAATGTACTTACTTAGTTACTTTATACCACTGCATTTTAAACATCATTGGTCAGACTATGACATATGATCGAATGAAGAGATATTATCCTAACAAAAGTACTTTTTGAAGCAGCAATCATGTTCATGTTCAGGTTAATGTATATAAGCTTTGTTTTCTTCCTTTCTTTTTTAGAAATTTCAAGCTTTACCTGACCACGAACATACACCTTTTCACCGAGGACTTTAAAGCTGTGTTTGTTGATGAACATGGGAGGGAGGAAAAGTACGATGTTCATCTTCAGAACTATTTCACTGGACATGTTGTTGGTGAGTAAAAACATCCGGCATAAGGGATTCACCAATGTTTCATTTTAAATACAGTTTTTTACCCTAATTTGGATTTCCAAGGCAAGTTTTTTTGCATGTGCAGGAGAAAAACTTTAATCTGAGAAATGATGACTAATTAAATGGCACTATTTGCCATATTATATCAGCAATACATATAATGTTGGGCTGATGTAAATACTGCTTGGTCATTTAATTGATCAGTGCGCCTTTTTACATTACTGGATTTAGTTTGCACATGTCAATCGTTTAATTAAAGCTTGATTTGTTCTGTGTTTCCAGGGGAGGAGAATTCCCGTGTGCAGGCACACATAGAAGGAGATGAGTTTTCTGCTCACATTCTTACTGATGAAGTCGAGTACAACGTAGAGGTAAGAACTGACTGTAACATAATCGTTTTTATGTGTAGAGTCAGAGTAGAGAGGGTACTACTGACCCATTTTTTTTGAATACACTTAACCCTAAGCCATTTTATCATTTGACTTAGTTTGACAGTAGAGAGGCCACACTGTTGAGGACTGTGATGGCCTTTTCAGCATTACCAAGTGCAATTGTATGCTTTACGCTAAGAAAACAAAAAAGAACATGGTGCTTTTGCTGTACTCAAAATTTGGGATGCTTTTGGTGTTTATGCCGTTAGATGATATTGCTTCTCAGCATAAAAAAGACTAGTCATGGTAGTGCCATACTCTGTGATTGCCTTTTGGATATACCAGTGATAATTTGTTATATTGGTATAATAACTTGGGCTTTCTGTCTCTGATCATTTTAACAACGATGCCCATGATAGTAGTTTGAAGTTATTTCTGATTTGCCCATCCAAACTCCACCTCTAGCTTATGCCAAATATGTTAAAGATTCGAAAGTGAAAGAGGAAGGCAGCTTTTATGCCTTGTAGCCCAGTTTATCTCATGCTGAGAATTTCACATCAATCCATTTGCTTTTGTTCTCAAGTTCCACCTGTTTTTCTCTGGACTTCCAGCCCCTTTGGAGGTTTACAGATTCCCCAGCTGATGGCAGGTTGCTGGTTTATCGTACGGACGACATCAAGAATCTGAGCCGCATCGCCTCTCCAAAAGTGTGTGGCTACGTCCACGCAGAGGCTAACGATCTGCTGCCACAGACTGCCAGGAGGAGTTGGGATGGACAGGAGGAGGTGGACCAGGAAAAGGGTGAGCTCAGCTTCTGCTTTCCTCACTAAGCTGTCGATGCCTGCAAATGTGTGTGGTGCTATTTGTAGCAGGAATGTGGAAGAGAAAGAAAGGGTAAGTACAGGGTTGGAGATAAAAAAAAAAAAGTTGATCTGCTCTGCGCTCTTGTTTGTGGTTAGTTAAGAGTAGATACAAAAGTAAAAGAATAACGCATGTTTAGGATAGAGAGAAGAAAGGAGATGGCTGTAATGGTGAGACAAGAGAGGTGGGTGTTAGGTGTCTGTAACAGTCACTTTAATAGAAGCCTTTTTATCTGTAAAACCTAGCCTAAGCCATTCACATACACACTGCTGACAAGTGGGTATTATGTAACAGCCAGATGCCTTTTGATTCCTTTGTGCTGCTTTGGAAATGTAAAGCATATAGCCTTGATAATGTGCCAGAGGAGAAATCGAACACCTCTCACTGGCTGCTGGTTGAAAGTACTCATCGGGGATATGATGTGAGGTGAAGGTTCTTATGGAGGAGGCATTCAAATTCATGCAGGCTCTGCTGCCCAATCAGATGCCTCCGAGTCGTCACCAGTCTCCCACCACACAGGGCAGCGCACCCCCACACTTCTGAACAGTGTATGATGTAATGCTCAAATGGGATCTCTTCCTGTTTTTCCATTTCTGTCAATCTTCAACTACTCATTGTTTTAAGACTTAAGGTTTATGAGGCAACTCTGTAGAGTCTATAAA